CGACGAAATGTGTTGTAAAATACTCTCAAATTTGGTACTCTGCGATTAGGATAGCGTTATTGGTACATCCGTCGTGCTAAAGATCCATTGCCGTCTGCTCTGACATACATAAAAACAATGTCAGCATATTCCTCGTTCGAGAAAGAATTCATAGTCACTTCTCAAATACAAAACGGCGTAGAAGCGAATTAAAACAAAAATTTTACAGTCAAAACGAACACGTTCAGGAGCGCAGAGCTAGGTAGCTAAGGCTGCAACTGGATACAGTGAAAAATTCAAACTGAATTAACACGTGCAGGAGCGTAAAGGGCTACTACAACTGAACACGGTAATTTGTCACGAATAAGGAAATAACGTCCGGTCACAAACGTAGTTCTAACTCGACTAAGTATACTAGCATCCCTTAAAGAAACAGGTAGTTACCCAGACGATAGAAAAACGACGCTATTGTCTTACCCATAAAGTTGTTTTTATTGTGAAATGTAATTTACGCATCGCTATTTATTTATTACTAGGCTCGCTACTTGAGAAGGTCATGTTTATTGCTATCTCATCGCACGCGCTACGCGTTGGCGTTTGTTCTTCGATCAACAATACCAACTAGATAACGGGTCACGTACAAAATCATAGCTAAATACTGTCCGCGTGAATATAAACTTTGTTTACTAAAGAAATGAGACAAAAAATTAAAATAGTTTTAAGCTCAACCTAATTACAACCATCGCATCTAGTAATAAAGTCACAAATCTTACGATCATTAGTCAGAAAAAAAGAACATAGCTATACAATACTCCTATCACTTGGAAATGAAAAGACATAAATTAAATAAACTTTGGTATGAAATCAACCTTAACGTGTAACAAATAAAGTTCTTTTTCCCGTTATTGCTTTGCGAGTTACGTCATTTTGTTATGTTTCTGTTTTCTTCTTCGAATTTGGTCCAGGAAGTATTGAGTCGCGTTGAACACTAAAATAATTTATAATGTGATCATAAGTTTAATTAAAATTATATTTATGTTTTGGGCATTTATGATTGTTGGTATACATACATTCCACACTAGCCATTAAATATAATATAGTATGTAGTATATTGATTGCATTTAATTAACTAATTCAATATATATATATTTAACCGCTAAAAAGAACCCCTTTGTCGTATCCCCTCAGTTTCAAGGCACTCCCCTTGTTGCCTCAGCCAGTATCGGAATCCTCGGCGTCGACATATCGAGTGACGTGCAGTTTCGTGGTCACTTGGAAGGGAAGGCCAAATTGGCCTCTAAAAAAGCTTGGCGTGCTCAGCAGAGCGGGACAGTATTTCATGCCGGCACACCGCCTGCAACTTTACAAGGCGCAGGTTCGGCCGCTCATGGAATACTGTTCCCATCTCTGGGCTGGGGCTCCCCAGTACCAACTCCTTCCACTTGACCGCATCCAACGCAGAGCGGCTCGAATCGTCGACGACCGAGTGCTTTCCGATCGGCTCGATTCACTGGCGCTGCGAAGAGATGTTGCATCTCTTTGCGTATTTTATCGCATCTATCACGGGGAGTGCTCTGAGGAATTGTTCGGATTAATCCCAGCCGCCAAATTTCGTGAACGCACTACACGGCAAACGTCCCGATACCATCCACACCATCTGGATGCTTGGCGGTCCACCACTGTACGTTTCAAAAGGAGTTTTCTTCCGCGTACAACCTCTCTGTGGAATAATTTACCACCGGTGATTTTTCCGGACCGATACGACCTGGGGACCTTCAAGAAAAGAGCTTACTCCTTTCTAAAGGGCCGGCAACGCACCTGCAATTCCCCTGGTGTTGCGGTTGATCATGGGCGGCGGTAGTCACTTAACATCAGGTGAGCCACATGCTCGTTTGCCCCCTCTTCTATAAAAAAAAAAAAAATATATATATATATATATATATATATATATATATATATATTAGTTTTTGTATGTACATATGTTCGTAGAATGTATTTATCTATGTACTATATATAAATATGTGTATTCTTTTTTATCACACCAATTTGCCCTACTCCTGTCATCTTCATGTAATCCTGTCCATTTATTGGTTGTCTGGAAGAAATTGCTGTCAGCAATAAGATCGCCCATTGCATACTTTTAAAACGTGGTAGAGCCATACTGCAATTATATTGTTACGAGCTTGAGGTTCGTGACAATAAAAATTGCCGATAGAATTACCTAAATTAACACTTTAATTTTATATATACCAATTAAAACTTAAAACACTAACAATTAATCACAGTGATTCACTTTATTCCGCTCCGAAGCTTCGCTTTTCTCGCCAAATTCAATACTTCTCTGATCGCGTATTGCAGCGCCTTTATATAGGGCTCTTCCACGAAAACATCCAGAATATTCCAGAATATTCGAGTAAATACGCGCGCCAACCGACCAAGCGCAGAAAGTTCGAGTTTGGGGCTTCCAGAAAGCTTAGTTCTTCAATTCGATACTAGATGGCGCTGTCGGTTGAAAGATTAGTGATGTCATTAACCGTGTTGGAAAGCTCCCCTCACTCTCGTCTCTGACACTAGATGGTGCTAGTGCCGTCGACTTAGGCGCGTAACAATATTAGTAGTATAGTTGTGGCACTAATGGGTCGGCTCGACCGGGGAAGAAAGCTAAGAAAGCTAAAAAAAATATCTAAGTATCTATTGGAATTACACAAACAAATACAAAAGTAGCAATTACCATTATTTATAGGTAACGAATTATTAAAAATTATTACAATACAAATCTACTTCATGCGTACATGTTCTGTTTCACAAATGTTTGCGCGTGTAATGGTCAACATTGGCAAAACATTTGTAGGGGCGGTTTTGATCGGTAATTTTGTTTAAAATATGATATTATTTGTTAGTTTTGAGCTTAAAATATAACATATTATACATGTAATTACCGAAAGTAAGATACTCTGGCCGTTAAATTACTTTTTCGGGCATTATTCCTGCAACTTTTAAATACACATTGCGGCATTGTGAAACGTGTTTACATTGGCTGTGTTTCAAGTGAACTAAATGAAACAAGAGCTCACGTCTCATGTGCGCTGTTATTTACTTAGATTGATTTCTTGCGCCGACCCGACATCTAGTTGGTATTGTTGATCGAAGCCTTTGTTAGAAGAGTCCCCTCAATTTTATTTCGAACGTGCCAATTTATACTTATAATTGAACTCTGTTATGTAATCATTTCCAACATTAAAAGTATTTTTTTAAAGCATTAATGTCGTTTTATCGCCTTGCTTGACATTTTTAATTTTCTCCCTCAATTTGGTTTATAAGCCCCGATTTCGATAATTTGTGAGCTATCCGCGTAGTTAATGCCTCAAAAGAAAGAAAAATAACCAGGCATGTTTTTGAAAATCTTTGAACGAAAACTACACCATCTGTATTTTTTAATGCCGTCAAATAATACTCGTGACACAGCCAGACTAACTGTAGGGACGCGAGAGGCGTGCGGGACGTATGATCACATTGTGCGTGTATGTGTAGTGTTCACACATTGACCAAGAACACATTTTTGAAATTGTCACCTATTCTATATGTAGATAGAGTATTGACTCTATATGACATCTGTGATCTATGAAGTCTGTGATTCTATATGATAGTAAAGTTCAGAGTATATGATATGTTGTGACACAAGGTCCGAATCATAGAATTTTTCTTTGAAAGTTCATCGGAAATGGTTCCGCCGTACATGATCTTGTTTTTATGAACGTCATTGTACGTTGCGCCATATCAATTTCATGCACAATCACGTACCGTCCGTGAAAGTGGTTAAAGGCAAGAGTATATGTAATGGGTAACTATCCTTTATTTTCATACAACTTACAAAATTTTTTCTCCCAGCATGCAGTTGTAACAATCTACACTAGAGTGTTCCAAAAAAAATTTTAGGTTATATTTCGTCACTTTCGTCGTTCACATTCTTTATTTCAGTATCTGCCAGTGAATTTCTCGGTCATGAAATCCTTGGCAACTTTTCCCAGATGTTGTGTTTCAGATTTTGTTTCTTTATGTTTAAGCAATTTTCTAACAGTTTTTCCGTCTTGAGCCACTATGTATAGATTCAGCATTATTTGTTTATGCCATAATTTCTTCTAGGTAAAAATGATTAAACTGTAAGATTGGTTTTTCATCCAAGTATATCTTTGATATATCATATGTCAAGATTTACTGTGTTATCCTTGTTTGATGGCTTTTGTTTAATAATTCTTTGACCTTGGTATAGTTGGAAGTACTTATAATTGTTTGGTGCAGATTTTAAGGTTGGTATTCAGCTGGTATTCCAAAAACCGGTCCATTACGTGAAGTTACTAAGGTTATGCATATATAATGTTTGATTTTCCATCTGCTGTTAGTTTCACAACAAAATCAAACCTTAACTTTTCCATGTTTCGTGAAATATTTGCAGAAAATGTGGTTTTATAATGATATGTTCTTGATAATTGGGAATAATAAAAAAAGTCGTAATTGCATTTCTCTCTAAAACAAAAGAAACAACGTGTAAATCCTTTAGTTATTGTAATATATATATATATATATATATATATATATATATATATATATATATATATATATATGCAGCTAACATGCAGATTTCCAAACGAAATATTATTTCACCGGTGAAAACTTGGTCATTCAGCAGTGAAAATTATATTTCGTTGGTGCCGGCGGAGGTCGAACACGGGCTGCTCGTCTACTGACCCCCTAGTGTAACACCGCCTAGCTACTGAGCTACCCATTACTCTCAAAAATTGTTTTTTAAGTCATAGAGAATAAATTATATTCTCAAGCAATACTTTTAAGGAAAAATTAACATCTCTGTGACAAACCATTTAAACTTAAACAATGGCTGTTAAATATAATTACAACACGTAGATTATTCAGAGACGATTATTCGAACATTATCATTATATTGAGATAAAATCACGCGCATTGATGATACTATATAAATAATAGATTTTTGAACTAAAGCTCAATTGTGTTGGAGTTGTTTCGAGCAACTAACCTGCTTAGTTTTTGAAATACTTGTAAGTATTGCAACATTTTTAAAGTACCTCCCAAAATATTTCATTTATAGCTGTCGTCTTAACGCTAATAAATAAATAAAATTGAAAATTAAAGTATTATCCTTTTTATAATATTATATTTAAACTTTTATGGTTATCTAATAGGATTTTTTGTTGTATGGGACCCGCCACGTACTTATTTACTTGAACACATCATGTTATACTAGCGACACGCCCATGCTCCGCATGTTTGGCGTATTTGAAAAATACAATAGTTGACAAATGAATTGTTCATATACGACTTACGGGTCAGTGAAATGGTTCACGTGCATGTACGATGAAAATACGTAAAAACTAGCGTAGTCCATTGTGGCGTCATTTAAAGTTTTTTTAATGATTAAAATACCTATTTTATGTTAGTTCACGTAATCGGGTCAAATTATCGACTTGCCGTGTTACTCCTCAGTACCGTATCATCTCCCTTTTTTATTTAATTCTGATAGGTTCTCTAAAAGAAATTGCTATGTAATAACAAAAGACGAAATGCCCTTTGTTTTCCATATTGTTATTATACGTGAGTAGAAAAGTATGATATTGCGTTGATTATAGCGTGTACTAATCATTGGTGGCTTAGGACCGTGCTATGGTTGGGCTCAGTAATACCTGGCTATAACGACAATGATGATGAAGTGATAACTTCCGATAAAATTCGACGTTAACGATTTGAGGTTGTTGCCGTAGTCAAAATCGGACAAGAAAAGAGATAAAAATGTCTCTAAGTCTAACCTTACATTTGACAGGATAACAGGCAGGGGCTTGAAATCGTAATTAACAAAGAAAACTGATAATTCGTAAATTGTAATTAACAAAAAAATTACGTTTTCAGATGAAGATGTTGAAGTCAGTTTTCATTTTGGCAATAGTTGCAATGCTGGTTGGTGAGGTAAGTGTTCATCAATAAACAATTTTTATAATATAAGAGTGTATATAGTGTAAGAGTGTCAGAAATAGGTAAGACACTAATTAAAAAATAAAATAAACATGAATGCGCCTCTATCAATTACTAATCTACATAAATTAATTAATTAAATATATGTCTAACTAGCTTTTTACCCGCGGCTGCGCTCGCGTGCGCTTGAATTTAGAATATCAATAATATTGTTTCGTACTAAAATTAGCAAAACTGGATCACTTTTAGAGACACATCGGTATCTATGTCTCTAGTGGCAACACTGTGGTCTACAGAAACACAAGTTAGTTTATCAGAATCGCATAAATATCATACGTCAAGCAACACCATTTTGATATCCGGCACGTCTTCCGATGTGTCTTTATGAAGGAAAAATTGTCCTGGAATCAGTAACGCGTTCTTAAATAATATTCACTATCAAATTTGATATATTTTTAATAAAATAAGGTTTAATTTCATGATATTTATAAATATTGGTCCCATTGAATATTGATTAGTACCACATCCCAGTATTTTTTTACGTTCGAGTAGACTTCAAAATTTCATAAATGTAGTTATATTCACGGAGAACGTGTAGGAAGAACTAAATTCACGAACAGGAGTAGAAATCTACATAAGATGGGCAGCAGCGTCTTCCTGATCATAGTTCAAAATAGTAAAAATACGCAGTTGGCAACTCATATGCCAAGCGTGGCAACTGTGGCAAATATCCAACTTATTTGGCAGTCTGTGGACGAAATCCAATTGAGGAACGGGAGTAGAAATAATATATTAGCCATGTAGAGGCAGCGAAGAAAAACCACTAGTTCATTTCGCCTTTAGAGGAAACTGAAACAGGAGATGGGTAGCATCTTCTTGATAACAGCGCAAAGTAATAAAGAGCTGCGGTTGCCAACCCATTTGCCAAGCGTGAATATTACTGCAAATACCTGATCCATTTGACAAACAATGAAGAAGCCTATGGTCAGTAGTGAATGACCACATTAAAAGTAAAATAGTAGCAGCCTAAATACATCCTACTACTAGGCACAGGTCACAGCGAGTTTTAGGTCAAAAAGAAGTTGACTCTAATGCCAGATTACCGACTTCACATACCTATACCTAAAAATTATTTCCGAAATATATTTTTAACTACTCAGATATGCAGATTTCCTTACGATGTTTTTTTTTCACCACCGAGAAAGTGGTAACTCGAAACTACAAATTGCAGTTTAGATATGAGTGGTGTCGGTGCGGATCTAATTTAGGTTGCTTACGTACCTACTACGAAATTTACGTTTAGATCGGTTTGATTACCGGCTTATACAGATGACTTTCAAGATTCTATCAATGCAGCTCTCACAATCTCATAGTTAAAATAAAAATTAACCCGTGTTTAAAATTTGCTTTCTTTGATATTTATAGTACTTTTTTTACAAGTGCCTGTTCATTTATTCGTGTGAGCTATGAATCCAGGACTGTCACCAAAAATTTAATACTTATGTCTGAAAGTATGAAAGCTATGTCAATATATGAAACTGTTGAAAAAACTAATTAAAAGTAAAAAGGCTGCATCAACGGTATCACGAACTATTCCATCAATTATGGATACAAATCTCAAAGAGCATTTAATTTTCAATTACTTATATCGGACTTGATACAAAAAGAAATTGATGAAATATTGCTATGCCGATAGACACACAACATATTCAACTAAAGACCTCTCTTAATCAAAGTTTTGTGTACACAGCTATGTTAATAAATTTGCTAAAATTGACAATTATGATAAATCATGCAGACAGTGACCACCGGTCTATACCGGTAGATAATTTTTGATGATGTAACAATTAGTACATATTTAATATAATTTTGTTAAATTTGACCAGTTCTGTACTTATTATTAGTTTATTTAGCAATAAGAAAATGAAGCTATTATTATATTAAAACTATGACACCCAAAACCTTACCCTCTAGTACTCAGAAACGATAAGTTGAGGTGCGACTAAAGTGGCTCTTACGCATAAACAAAGCCGCTATCATTTTTCTTTTTATTTAAACTATAAGGATAGTAAGTGTTTTGTAGTAATTGTAATATTTATAATTTTTATTTATAGATAAAAAAACTAATACCCACTAAAACTTTTAATATACTAGAAATTAAATTTAGAATCATCGATATTTTATGATATTAGATAAACGTCACTATTATCTATTTAAGTAGTAATTAGTTACTATAAAATTTATTTATATCTGCTAAAATTAAATAACAAAAACTAAAAAATGTACATTAGAATGCTGAAATCAACTATGTATTTATTTAATTAAATAACTATATAAATGTAAATTATTTGTATTATTTAATTTATTAGTTACTGAAGGCAAAATGTCACTACCTTTTGTATTTTGCGTTAGATGGAACTGCCTTCAAAAAGCGCATGCAACCATGATGTCTTAGATTGTCGGAGTAGTTCAATTTATTACGTAACAGTTAAAACTAATAATTGGTTTTATTTATAAGTATTTCATTTATTTTAATAAAACACGTCAATCGTATAAAATAGAAATTGACATCTAAAGAAAGGAAAATATTTTACCCTCCTTTTTGAAGTTCCGTAATCGGGTAAAAAGTAGCCTATAAGTTGCCCCGGGTCCCTAGCCTACGGACAAAACTTCATGGATATCGGTCCAGTAGTTTTCGCGCGAATCTTGAATACACAGACAGACAGACAGAGAGAAATTCTAAAAACCGCTAATTTGCTCAAATTTTTGAGCTAAGTAAATAATGGTAGAATTTTTGATTTGTGTATTTGAATTTCACACGAATATAAGTGGTCGGCACGACCGCGGCAGGACCACGCTCTCACAGAATACCAGCGTGAAATAGTAGCTCATTGCTGCAGTGTTTTATATGAAGTAAAGGAGATTGCATCTTCGTAATAACGACTAAAAATAGACTTCCAATGGCCAACCTGGCTACCAAGCGTGGGAACTATAGCTTATATCCCCCCTTTGAGCCAGTCTATGGTGGATGCCCGTGTCCAACAGTGGACTTTTAACAGACTGTAATGGTATGTTGGCGTAATGCGGTGGGCTTTTATGGACTGTAAAAGAAAGAAAGGAAAACTGCGGTCTACCATAGATCTCTTTTATTTCTTTTCTTATACGGACCACCGGTGGATGCCGTGGCGCACTGTGTTGCTCTATGTGTACGTATGACTTGCAGCAACGCTGATAAATCACGATGTAACTTTTCGTTTGTAATTGTTTCAGTCAGTTCAACAAGGTGGTGGTCTAGGAGGTAAGTTTTTCTTCCTTTTTATAAAGTTAGTTAAAGTTACAGCCTATATACGTCCCACTGCTGGGCACAGGCCTCCCCTCATTTCTGAGAGGGTTTTAGGGCAAGGAAGTGTCCGCCGCGCTGCCCAATGCGTGTTGGCGAACTTCACATGTCTTCGAATTTTTTTTCTTATTTCTCAGACATGCAGGTTTCCTCACGATGTTTTCCTTCACCGCTGAGCACGTGGTAAATCAGCACTTAAAATTGCAATTAACAATTTCATTGGTGCCGGCGGGGATCGAACCCGGTTTGCTCGCGTACTGTGAAATTTACAGCGAGCGCTAACCATCTGAGCTACCACGGCTCCTTCCTTTTTATAGTTCCCTTTATTTAATAACTATGTTCTTAAAAGTACCGATTTATTTCTTTAGTATAACTGATTTTTTAATCGTTTGGTGGTGCCGTAAGACCATTAATTACACTGTGACATGTGATTTTGCCAGGGAAAGCGTATGGCTTCTTATCTTTCGATAGATGGCGCTATACCTATCTCATTTACTCCATAAGTAAAATACCCAGACCGTCAATGCACAGCAGCGTTAAAAGTGCGAAGTGGTACTGTACTGACGCTTGTCAAGTGTCACGATTAAGGCAAGTCATCGATCTTACGTTGAGAGGCTGAAGAAGAGAAGGAGAACTGATATTCAGTTTATTCTGATCTCTTTTAAATAAAAATACATCAATCGTAACACTATTCTGTTGCATGTAAATAAGGAAATTAGAGTATTACGATATCATCTGTACCATTAGGATGATTAGTGGTCCACCGCTGTGCGATTTACAAGAAGATTTTTTTCAAAAAAGTAGACCACTTTAAATAAAGTCTATTTATTAAATTTATTTCAAAAAAGAACTAAGGATATGTAAAGATAGAGAGAGAACGAGAAATAGATGAAGTAAAGTGAGTAATTTTAGCGAGTAAATAAATTTGTTACAATAATTATTGCACTGGATAACGAAAAGTCAACGTTTACTAAACTGTTATCAATTTTCACGAAATAAATTTTCTCATCTGAGGATAAATTTATTTTGTGTCTTGTGACGCATCTACCGTTCGAAATTGACAATAGCGTGTGGGGGCGGTGAAAAGTATACATCACTTCATTTATTTGGGAAATGCTAGAGATATCTCATGTTCTTTGATAGATGATTTAAAAAACTCCTTTAACACCAGTCATAAAATAACAAGCGTTAAAGATGCGAGACATCTGTTATCTGATACTACTAATGATTATGAAATATACTACTTGTTCATTCCAAGATTGCCGTTACCTCCCGCCGCGCTCCCTCACTCCGCGACTCAAGCGTCGCTCTATTAGTACCGATAGCAGCTCGCCTTCGTAATGTTTTACGTATTTAAAATGTTTAAATTTACATTTAAACATAAAACTATAAATATTTTAATTACAATATTTTATAATTGTTTTGGACACGTCCCTATTCACTGTTATTTTTCACTGTACTAAATAAATTATTTTATAATATGTACCTACTATATCTACTTGTTTGCTGTCAATTTCTGTGTACAGGACAACAAACTACTTACTTAGATTTGTTCAATTTGACAAAAAAATAATCATCATGTTTATGTGATGTGGTAGATAAAAATGATGACTTATTTGTCTACGGTACCGTCAGCTGTGATATCATAACGGTCGACGACGGCAAACTTGAAATGAACGCGTAGTACTCTCTACAACGAGAAAAGCTTCAGTCCAGCACTCCACAAAAACTTTTAATAGCAGATAAAGAAGAGAAGAAGAAAAAATGAACAAAACATTTTTAACTAGCATTTTTTTTAATTCCGGAGATGCCTCAGAAATAGTGAAGGTGATTATTTATATGACTGTGGGACTCGTAAATATCATTCTTAATATTTTTACAGGTATGGGCGGTCCGCCACCGCAATTTGGAGGTATGTATACTTTTTAAATATTATTAAGAGCTTATTTTTCAGTCATCAAATAGAAGTTATTCACACTTTTATATTCAGTCAGGTTATCATTTTTCTGATAGATATTTTTTATCTAATTGATAAATCAGCTGGTCAATATGATATATATGCAGAATAATAAAACATGCAGGGAGTCGATGGATGCAGGTGGATAAGGACCGTGCTTTGAGGCTTTCCTTGGGGGAGGCCTATGTTCAGCAGTGGACTTGGGAAGGGCTGTAATAAATAGGGCTGGAGCTAAACTAGGGCTGAATAAATGAATGATAAATCAGCCCTTACTCCTATAGAATTCAACTATTCTTGATACATAATTTTGCAAGCGTGTTGTTGGAATAGTCTATATAGTTTAGTTCGTGCTTCATCCAACTTTTGATAAGGTCGTGTTCAAAGTATTGACCGACATAAACCACTGTTCTAACGGAGCGATTGTGACTGATTGTCAATCAGCATCAGTGATTGGCGAAACAAATGCGTACATATAGTTCGAGTCCGAATGTGATGGACGACGGTGTCTATCGCGGAATAATTATGATGTATGGTACAAAGTTATTTTGATTGATATCTTCCTTCCTTAATATACCACGTAATAAAAAGAAGCTATTGTCTTAATCTCATGTTTCTACTTCCAATTATTTAGGCTTATATTTATAGGCCAAATATTATTCATACAAAGTTAATTAAAAAAAACAATGTTTTTTCTTTTTTCAAATTTTAAAATCAGTAAGTTTCTAGTTAATCACCACGTAAAATAAAAATAAAACATTCATATAAACAGTACACCCTATTTAACCTTCTTAGGGCTTAAATTTTCCAAAACCCTTTTAAGTGGACTTAAAAGAATTTTGAACTTATTAAAGGAAACTATTGTGTAAACTATTTATTAATCTGTGCTATTGTTCCAATTTCACATTTCGAGACCAGCGGTTTGAGCTGTGCGTCTTAATACACTTCTTTTAATACAAATTGCAGTCTCGTTTCAAAACCTTAAGAGTAAGTTTTAGAGAAAGGAAAAATGGATATGATATTATTTTTATTCAAGAGTATTTGCACCAGTTTTTAGTTTTAAATAACTAGTTATTATATTATTTATATTATACCCTCTGACTTCTTACGGGGGTAAAGGGTTGTTTTGAAAAGTTGCAAAATGCCTTCTCATTTATTTTATACATAGAATACCTTTAAAAACTTTGGAAGTAATCGTGCCTTAAAATAAAAAGTGTCATACAAACTGTAACACACTATTTTCCCTACTAGGGGTTGAACTTTCAAAAATTCTTTCTTATTGGATGCCTGCGTCATGAAATTCAGCCACTATCCAAATATCAGATTATCCCGTCAAGTAGTTTGGGTCTATGCGTTGATAGATGAGTCAGACATTTAGGACATCGTCTTTTATATACATATAGATAATAAATTTTAAGATGAAATGACAGCACTCAATCAGATGTAAGCAATCGTGTATTATACCTAATTCAAACTCCGCATTCCATTGCGAGCAACTTAAATAGCTGAAAACAGAAATAACTTAGTGTCTTTTTCCTATCCATGGCGAAAATATCATTATACTATTTATTTGATAATGAATTATCTTTAGATAGTTTTTTTTTTCAAATTTGAACTTAATAAAATAGTGAAGGTGATTATGTAACTGTTGTACTCGTAAATATCATTCTTAATACTCTTACAGGTATGGGCGGTGGTCCGCCACCGCAATTTGGAGGTATGTATACTTTTTTAAATATTATTAGGAGCTGCTTTTTCAGTCATCAAATGGAATTTTTCAGTGACGTTATCATTTTTCTAAATAACTTTTATCTGATAATTGATAAATGTCTAATTTGCATTTTTAGTTACATTTCTCCATGACACCACAATATTTTTATGAATAAGTTCATAAAATTATTTTTAAGGCATAGTAAATAATCCTATCTAAGTTTTCATAAACCTTTTTTTAAATCCATAATAACGTTTTGTTAAAAAATAAAAATGTTGCTTGGCGCTTACTTAGTTTTTTTACCGAGCGCGAGCTCGGTATAGCTATCTCATAATTTGCGTACCATGAAGTTTCATTTTCATTTTGACACTCCCACAGTCCCGCCCTAGGTAAAGCTCACTTACCTACAAAGGGATAAGCCACGCCCCTAAAACAACGAATTATTTTTAAGGTAACCTCTTAAGGGGACACCTATTTTTTATTAAAGGAACCTATTATCCCAATTTCACACTTCGAGTGCAGTGGTTTGAGCTGTAGTTGCACAGCTTACTCTTGCAGTTAATACTCTTCTTTTAATACAAACTACACACTCTTTCAAAACATTAAGAGTACATTTTAGAACATTAAATAATGGATATGACATAATTTTTGTTCAAGAGTATATGCACCAACTTTTAGTCAAAAATCAGTTATAATTTTTTATATTATACCATCTGACTTCGTACAGGGGGTCAAGGGATGTTTTGAGAAATCGCAAAATCCCTATCCCTTTTATGTACAGAGTACTTTCAAAAAATTTGGAGGTAATCGCGCATTAAAATAAAAAGTGTCATACAAACTGTAACACACTATTTCCCCTGTTAGGTGTTGAATTTTCAAAAATCCTTTTTTATTGGATGCCTGCGTCAAAAAATGCCGTCACTATCCAAATATCAGATTCCTTCGTCATGCAGTTTGGGCCTGTGCGTTGATAGATGAGTCATTTAGGACATCCTCTTTTATAAACATATATATAACAAATTTAAAGATTAAATAATAGAAATCAATCAAATTTAAGAGATTGTATATTATACTTAGTTTTTGTCCACAAAATCCGCTTCCTATTGCGAACACAACTAAAATAGCCAAAAAACAGAAATAACTTAGTGTGTTTTTCCTATCTATAGGGAAAACATTATTATACTATTTATTTGATAATGAATTATCTTTAGATAGTTTGTTTTCAAATTTGAACTTAATAAAATAGTGAAGGTGATTATGTAACTGTTGTACTCGTAAATATCATTCTAATACTTTTACAGGTATGGGCGGTGGTCCGCCACCGCAGTTTGGAGGTATGTATACTTTTTAAATATTATTAAGAGCTGATTTTTCAGTATTCCAATAGAAGTTATTCACACTTTAATATTCAGATTCAGATTCCTTCGTCAAGCAGTTTGGGCCTGTGCGTTGATAGATGATTTAGTTATTTAGGACATCGTCTTTTATATACATATAGATACGAAATTTTAAGATAAAATGACAGCACTCAATCAGATGTAAGCGATTGTATATTCTACCTAATTTCCCTGATCGTATATTGTACCCAAAATCCGCATCCTATTGAGAACAGAACTAAAATAGCTGAAAAACAGAAATAACTTTGCATGTTTTTCCCATCTATAGAGAAAATACTACAACTAATACTAATATTAATACTATTTATATGATAATGATAATTATCTTGAGATATTTTGTTTTCAAATTTAAACTTAATTTACTATAGTAAAATTCAATTCTACTTTGCATAACTCGTAGACTTAGAATACATTGGCGTAGCGTAGCTTTGTTATCATAACACAGCCTGAAATAATGTTATATATAAAATATAGAATAATTCACAAAACATATATGTGTTAGAATTATTATTTCTATAAATTATTTAAGCACAAGATAGCAAACTATGACAATATAATTATATTCTAATACATATTTCATATTCAAACTAAACCGTAGTAAAAAGCGGTTAAGTGACTGCTTTACTTTCATACTCATAATAGTATATTCTATGTATAATATTATTTATATCAAGTTACACCAACAACGTAAGCTCGTGCCGGCTGCTTGTACACTAGAAAATTTAAAAAGATTAAGGTACTAAATAATAATCTAAAAGAAATGGGCTGTGATATCGTTAATGAGCAGGCAGCTGCCTGACTCGTTGGTCTAGTAGTTGTAGTAGTGCGACTGCTGATCATGAGGTCCTGGGTTCCCGGGTCGGGCCAAAAATTAATTATTGAGTTTTACCGTCAAGAAATTCTCAGTAGTTGCCCGGAGTCAGGAAGTTGGCGGTGTCTCACCCCCGTGCCTCGGAAAGCACGTAAAGCCGTTGGTCCTGCGCCTGATCTCTCTCCGGTCATGTCGGTTTACCGTCCCATCGGATTATGAGAGTGAGGGAATAGAAAGTGCACCTGTGCTTGCGCATACACTTGGGCACTATAATCCTGTCCTGCGCCGATGGCTAGCCTCCGTTGAGGCAGGCCGCCGTGGCCGAAATTCGGTCTGGAGGACATTATTATTATAATGCCGCAGTTATTGATCGTGGCGTCTTTTATGCGTACTTTTTGAGTGCGTGTGATGAAGTCGGTGGAAGTATGAGGGGTGATCACTGGCAAACCTTCTGTGCGCGGATTAAACTTCGAAATTTCATAAAGGATCATTGGAGTAGTGACTCCTGCAGTTAGTCAAGTAATTACTTTCTACAATTGATATGGTTAGCAGAAGCAACCAGCAGACGTTAAGTCTTAGTTGATTTTATTCCGTTTTATAATATTCTATTAGCGTTAACGATTGTAGACCAATTGGTATAAAGGACGTTATGGAAACATCCTAGTTCATAGCACAGTTTACGGTGGGATATTTTCTTCACTAATACTTTACCACCACACGTAGGTACCTTCGACATGAACGGAGGCGGTAGTGCTGGCGGCTACGGAGGTGGACAAGATGATGGACAAGGCCAATAATAAGGTTCGCCTTGAATTTTTCTTTTCTTTGTCACTAAAACTATAATGGCTTATTCTTTTATAGTTGTAGCACGAATGGGTCCACTCGACTGGGAAAGGACAATACTCTCACAGAATACCAGCGTAAAATAGTAATTAATGTTACTGTGTTACGTATGGTGAATGTAGAGAACCGGATACCCTTTTTACTGGAAGCGAGGCATTCCATCTTAGTCCTCACGGGTGACAACGCATCAGCATATTGATTTGTAATCGAGGATAGATGTAGATGTCTATGGGCCACAGCAACCACTTACCATCAGGTGGACTGTGTTCTCGTTTGTCAGCCTATCCTATAAAAAATTCTATAATGGCTGTTAAATTTTATTGTAGTTTTGTTTAATGTAGCTGAATTAATATTTGCGCTTTGTGCCATTGTGACGTCTATCTTCAGAACCGATAAGGAAATGCTTGGAAAATTATAATTTTACAGCATATATTTTAAAGATTGTGCTCACAAACTGTATTTAATGCCTCGATATGTGATGCCTCTTTCAATGAGGCGGCGGGTGTTCTACAAACCCGGTACGACAAATTATTCTTTTTGCGCGGAGCTTATTTAAATAATTTTAACATTTGTTATGATTTAAATCTGCCATTGCCCTAACCATAATCAAACAACACGCCCAGTGGGTTCTATCCTTTTGTTGAGGCTACATTTGCGAGAAAATGTCTAATATCAAAAAGTGTGACTACTAAAAGATTGTTAGCTATGCAAAAGAGGCTACAATGCAGATGAAAAGATTTGTTAGGCTACATAAATGCAGATGAAAAGATTTTTTGAGGCTACACTAGAATGCAGATGAAAAGATTTGTTTTCTGATTTGCCGTTAATAGTGTGTGCAGCAACGGAACCAACATCAGCCTTCTTGGCCGACTAAAACAATGTCGGTGTTTTCAAGAGAAAATAGTAAATGTAAATTTGTTAGTAGGATTTTTTATTCATCCTTCTACAATTTACTTATTCGCTAATTTCGATGACATCAAAATGATACATACATTATTCCATAATATACTAAACATAAAATCTTTATATAAGTGCTACGACGCCTCACTAAACACGGCGCAAATGCAAACTACGACAAAATGACTAATGAAAATGGTTTTGATGTCAGCAAAGTTACACAGTTATAGAATATAAGTATAACCTGCAGATGCGATCATAACAAGACACCAGCTTTCAATTATTTATAAAAAAAACGTGACAAACGAAAGACAGCGTACGATGATAAATCATCTCGTGACCGCCAGATATAAAATGACAACTGGGAGCAGTGTCATATTCACCAGATCTGTTGATGCGGTCTCCAACCCGCTCACCAATACTACTATTATCATACTCTTTCTATATATTTAATAATTTATTCCCTTCAGCCTATCAAAGTCCACTGCTGGACGTGGGCCTCGTCTTAGGTTTCCTCATACCGGGGACATTTGTCATGGTTACTCTTGGCAAGCAGATTTAGACAGCCAACCGCAGTTTTTTTCCTTGGAAAGCTTATTTCCAGCTGTGAAATAGCTGTTGATTATATGCAATATGTCTCAGTGAAACTCAGTGTTCTAATATCTAATAATAAGCCATCAACACCATCAACATCATTGCAGCCTCTTGTAAGTTCACTTCTGAACACATACCTCCCGCAAGGAATGCATACATCAAATTTCCGCATCTCTAACCAGGTTATCAAGTAGGTGGTCACCATATAATACACTTACTTAACAGAATGAAGCGTCCACTTGAGAACCTTTCTTCCCTAGCGGTTGTTGGTCCTTCGAGCTATATGGCTGACAAATTTCCACTCAGTTTACTGATCCATTGGGCTATGTTGGTTACTTTGTATCGATTGTATTGTAATATTTATTAAAAAATGTTTACTCAATGAAAGACACATTAGTTTAATGAACGTACATATTTTTTTTTTCAGAATTATGTGTTGGTCAACAAAAACTGCACCGTTAGAAGATTGTATCGTAATTGAACTTACAATATAAATATATGTATACAAAACTAGCTGCGCGTGTTTTATTTACTACTTTACTATAATCTATACAGCTTTATACATATGAATAAAACTGACGTGCCTATCGTTACATCGAAATAACTGATATCGAATTTATTTGCGTAATATAAAACATGAGCAGTCATTTGTAAAAATATTGTCAGCAAAAATGCTAGGCTATTTATAAAAAGTTGTGAAGAAACTTCACGAACAGATAAAAAGTAATGCCAGGAGTGATATACTCTATATATTATTACAAAACTTAGTTTTCTCAGTGAAATTAAAAAATAAGTAGTCATTGAGGATAATTAGAAATTCTAAATGACATAACCTTAAACCTCCCGTTTACTGGGTAGTGACACTTCTTTTCTACCAAGTCCATCTTGTTAGGTACCTATTTGTACCGTCATAAAGCAGTGGGTGCACCGTTGTGTTCAGCTCTGGTCGTCTTCGTCCTCACAGGTGACAACGCATCTATAACCGTCTTTGTTCGAACTTGGCTGCAGGTCTCCATGAACGGCAATAGACACTTATTATGAGCTGGACAGTAAGTTCTATTGTCACTTGTTTTTATATTTAAAAAATTGGTTTGTTTATACAAGCACCCGAAGAAGTGACAAAAATAAAGCCACAATATGTCAAATAACATTGAAAATTGTACACCAACTTATGTCTTTTTCTTTACCAGCCTGTTAAAATCTGTACATCAGTCTCTTCAATTGTACTGTCATAAATTTGGAAAGAAGATTGGCGGTTTAGCTACCAAAAGACGCGCTTTGACGGTACTCTCCGTTGCGTTGCTGCTATATATTTTGTTTGGTGCAAACAGGATAGTTATACTGATATCTAGCCGAAACTGTAAGATCTTTCTGCCATTTCCCAAAGTCGCATTTTACGACAACCACGGACCGAAAAAATGTGATGGCTTTTTATTTTTTTAATCATATTTATCATTATTGAATATGTTGAATTGACTAATAATTAACGTCATTACAATGTAAATACTACATAGAGACAACATGAACCCTGGTAATTGGTTTAAAAGTGAGTAATTTTATTTTCATTATTCCAATTACTAGGGCAAAAGATGGTATCTAAAATCGATAGAAACTATCTATTACCCTAGTAATTATACTATACCTATTTTATTTTAATTACTAGCGACCCGCTCTCGCTTTGCTTGTATAGGATCCATTAATGTGGTGTTATTTAGTTTTAAGATAATCAAAGTCAGTCTTTGTTTTTTTTTAATCTTCAAGTATTTCGGATTAAATATAGATATTCCTAGATTCCCCTTCTATATCACTCCTAGAGGCTACATCACTCCTGGCGTTGCTCTTTATCTGTTCGTAAAGTTTCATCACAATCAATTCCGAAAACAGACAGACAAACAAATAGACAGAGTGATTAAAAAAAACCCGACTAAGTGCGTGTCGCATCACACACAATGTAGGGTTCCTTAGTTTCCCGTTACAATACGTGAACACAGAAGGGTCCTTCGTGATACTATGAGCATGCAAAGTGAGTTCGCGGTTTGACCACTATAACGAATAAAAATGGGCCCAAGTGGTATGATGGTAACTAGAGGACTTATTTTCCAAACAGACTTATAAGTAGTGGTATTCAAAAAGATTAATAAAACCTTGCGATTTTGAAATCTACCCCAAACCATTTACATGCCAATTTAGTACAAAAATCGTAGTAGTTCCTTATCTATCTATTAGTTCCTGGCAGTGCAATCCTATGATATACATGGCCGTACCGAACCTTCACGTAAACCACCAATACCCTGACTGCCACGAGAACCCTGATACCAAGAGTACGACGAATGGAACTGTAGGACCATAATAACTACTAACTAAAAATAAGAGAAAGTGGTATGTCAGGATCGGTCTCTTGGCTATCGATCATCTCTGCCTACCCCACAAAGGAAAAGTAAAGCTATACTTAGTAAAAAATGCTTATCATCATCATCATCATCATTACAGCCTTTCACAAGTCCACTGCTGAACATAGGCCTCCCCCAAGTAATGCCACAAAGCACGGTCCTGAGCCACCTGCATCCATTGACTTCCTGCATGTCTTACCAGGTCGTCACTCCATCTAGTGGAGGGTCACCCTACACTACGCCTACCGGTACGAGGCCGCCACTCGAGAACCTTTCTTCCCCATCGGTTATTGGTTCTTCGAGCTATATGGCCGGCCCATTGCCACTTCAGCTTACTAATCCGTTGGGCTATGTCGGTCACTCTGGTTTTACTGCGGATATTAACTTTCTGAGTATCACGCAATGAAACTCCGAGCATAGCCCTCTTCATAGCTCGCTGAACGACCTTGAGCGTCCTCATACGGCCAGCAGTGAAGGATCACGTCTCAGATCCGTAAGTCATCACTGGCAACACGCACTGGTTATACACTTTAGTTTTCAGAGATTGAGGTATACCTGACGAGAAGATGTGTCGTAATTCCGCGAACGCTGCCCAGCCGAGTTGAATCCGTCGATTGACCTCTCGATCGAAGTTGGACTTACCTAGTCGGACTATTTGTCCCAGGTAAACGTACTCGTCAACAACTTCGAGCATAGTGCTCCCAACAACTACCGGCATAGGTGTGACATGGACATTAAACATGATCTCTGTTTTTTCCATGTTCATCTTAAGACCTATCCGTTGGGAGACACCATTGAGGTCATTGAACATAGTACTAAGGTCCTCCAGCGATTCTGCCATAAGGACTATATCGTCGGCAAATCGAAGGTGAGTGATGTACTCGCCATTGATGTTAATACCGTATCCTTTCTAGTCCAGTAGCTTGAAAACGTCTTCCAACGCAGCGGTGAAGAGTTTCGGGGATATAACATCACCCTGTCTTATACCTCTCTGCAGTTGGATAGGTTTTGAACTCCGGTTCTGTACTCGGATAGCTATCGTAGCCCTGCTGTACAAACACTTCAGCACTTCG